ACGGCATCCCTGAAAGAACCTACAACATCAGTAGCAACTTCGGGTTGATCATTCAGAACGTCACCGACTCAGATGAAGGGAGGTATTATTACATGGTAGAACCGAAGTTGGGCCGAATATACCGAGGATCCGAGAAGGTAGCAGTTAAAGGTTAGTGCAAAGTTATCCAATGCACAGAGGAACGCAAAGACAAAACAAAAAGATGTCATGGTAAAAATCATATTGTGGATTGTGGTGGCAGCTGAGATGTTACATTTTCATAATGTAACATCCATATAAGACGGGAGGTGTAAAAAGCTACCACTCTTTAACGTGTGTTATCACCTGTTAAGATAACATAAATTTGATTCACAGTGACTTCTAAGCAGTTGTTTCCTACTGTTCCTGGGTGTGATCCTCGCCCATCGAAGCCAGTAGATACCTGCATTGTACGCGTACCATACGATGTGGTGACTATCAGCCTGACGTGTAAAGTTGAGCATGTCAAACCTGCGGTAGACATCCTATGGTTTCATGTGCTTCCAGACGGTGGCGCTGAGCAAGTCGAATCATCAACTACGATATTGCCTGTAAGCAGACCAGGTAATTTGCCAACTGCTTCACCATCCGAGTCCACTTGTCCTTCTCTTTTTTCTAATATCGAGATTCATGTGTCTCTGCTTTTAATGATAAAATTAATGCAAATAAAAAAGGGTACTCCATCACACCTTATGTCATAATGAGGGACCAATGTAGTTTCAAACAAACTTTCATGAACTGACCTATAGCATCCTCGGTAGTAACCCGTCTTTCGGTGCTTCAAATATAATGTTATAGTTGAATATAAAAACGAAGAAATTCCCTCAGACAAGCCTTTCCAACTAGCTAGCTTAATACCAGTATTAAGTTGACTGATGAAAAGTGTTTTGTGACATGTAGTCATTTTAAACGTACAAACTTCAGCTGGGATTTTTTTTTTACCTCAGGTGCATCTTTCGACAATACCTTTACGTCATTATCAACCTTCCATCTGCCCATGAGGAGTGATGACATCGTAAGGTATAGATGTGAGGCTCATGGTGTAGCTGTGGGAAGCGACAATGGAAGTCATTTGTTGGTTAGCGTCAGGAACGTCTCACCGATAGTTCATACAAGTAGGAATGTGTATGCCTTTTAAAAAATACCCTCAGCTGTAGTCAAAACACCGATAACATATCTTCAAAATTGTATTTCGTGGTAAAAGTAACTGTTACTGGTTATGAAAGGCGTGGCAGTCGCTGCGACAGAGAACGCCCAAACAACTGATGTCATGCTGCATTGTTGTTGGCAGTTTGTTCGAACCTGTTTGAAGCTCATGCACGTATCCCCCTTTGGGGTGTAAATGTAAATCGGACGTTTTTGTAAAAGAAGCCCCACGTAGGGTCGAACTTGTGCGGCGACACTCGAAAACAGACCGATATGACCATGGTGGTGTAATCCCAGATGTGCCCACTGCAGGCGGCCTTGGCATAATTTTCTTGCCATGTTCCACGTAGACACGACCCATCCTTGGTACATTCCGAAGGGAGTTCTGTCACACGTTCCCAGTTTGTTTGCTTGGATATTTTCCTTACCCTGCAGCCCACCAACCCCTTCTCCCGGAAACTCCCCCTTTCTGTCTCCAACTCAATTTCTGCATATCATTCCCATCCTGCTTCCCTTTTATTGAAATTATTTATAGAATTCGAATGAATTTTTTCCTCTTTCTACTATTCGTCTATTGACTTATTTTTATACAATGCAATAATGTCACGAATTTAATAATTTATGCGTTTCTGGTTGATGCTCAGCCAAATTTGCTGCTACTCGCATATTATATAAACCATATGACAACAAATAGTGTACTCAATAGTAGGCCTATACTTGTACTTTTCTTTTTGATCGAAGGTCCGACCGTATATTTAGAGCGGGGTCGACGTGGGATCGTTTCTTGTCTCCCCGATTCACCCTTCGCATACAAGCTGAAAGATCTAGATTGTGTCTTCTGGTACTTCGGTTCGAGAGACAGAGAACACGCCATTGGTTCCTATCCACATGACACCATCAGTCCCCTGGACGACATCCGTCTAGGCGTTAACAGCAGCACATTCGATTTGGTCATCCAGAATGTCTCCGACTCTGATGAAGGGAAATATTTTTATACGGTTGTACCAAAAGTGGGCAGACTCTACAAACAAGCTGTGGGGGTAGCTGTCAAAGGTGAGGAAATGAACTTGTGCAAAAAGAGACCACTTTGCAATATACAAACCTACGTGTTGTAGAATGAGTTCAGGAAAAAAGTTCATTTCCTTTTCAACTGGCTATGACAGTAAAAGCTTAGTTGCAGACTCTGACAGAACTGTTCCAATTCTTCCATGAATCCCTATTGCACACTTACCACTAGAAGTACATTTTGTACATGTAAACATTCCATATTTTGGCCACTTTATAGTTTCAGCAAAAAAGCCGTTTCCTGTTGTTCCCGAATGTCTTCCACAGCAGTCAGAGCCTGGTGATGAATGCGTTATTAGCGTACCACACGATATGGTAAATGTCACCCTTACATGCAAAGTTGAACACGCCAAACCTCCGGTAGCTGTCCAATGGTTCATGGTATTTCAAGACGGGCACAAAGAGGATGCTGAATCTACAGAAACCATGATTCAAACGGTACCCAGTCAGCCAGGTGAGTTGACACTGAACTGATCCTTCTAAATCCACTTGTCATATTTAGAAGAGTCCCCAATTCTTATGTGAGACTAATGAATTCTAACTTAGTAGGCCTATGAAACTATTTCAGCAATGAATCACAGATAGGCTTTCTTATCTCATGTATATAGTTTCTTTAAATTTTACACCTACAGATCTATCATAATACTCATGATATCGAAAAATGATACCAGTTTGGTTCACTTGCCGCGACAAATAATTATTCCTAAGATTCCAAAAGTCATTCAGTGTTTTTTTTAATTACAGGGTCCTTTTTCGACAACACTTACACGACTGTATCTTCTCTCTATCTGTCAACAACGGTTAACGACAGCCTGAGATGTAGATGTGAAGCCTCTGGGGTAGCAGCAGGAGGCGAGAATGGACGTCAGATAACTGTTACCATCAGAAGAAATTCAGCGACGGTCCGGACAGGTGGGAACTGATACTAACGCCTTCTAAGCAATGTTCTTATACGATTATTTCGCCTTTAAAAGTATTATCTGCACAAGAAGAGGTTGTCTCTCAGCTTTCGGGGTTTCGGTTTAAAACAGATTACAAACCTTTTGCGGAGATTGGTGCATTTTTAATAAACTTCAAAAGCTTGGTTCTAGTCACTGTCCCCAATGTTGCCATGTTTTGACACCGTAGCAGCTTACTAAGCCTGTACAATGGCGCAGTGTTCTACAAGACAAAATTCTGAAAGGGTCCAATTTGAACTTATTCAGCTCTCATGAAAAAATATTGAAAAATAATTCTGTGCATTTGAATTTATATTTAGAAACAACTGAGACGACAAGCCCTGATCTGCAAAACAATCCTTGCACCTTCGACGTTGACTTTCTGTGGAAACTCTTATTTGCAATAACATTTGCAATAACTTTTCTTTCGGTAAGTTTCTCTTGGACGAATGCACAAGTACGTGATTAAGTACAATCGTAACGATAAGAAAAAGAAACATTAAAAAATATCAAAACATTCAGTAGGTACGTGTCACAAGAATATGGACCGTAATGACGGGAAACTATTATTTCCGGAGTGTATGCCCAAGCGTCACATTGGGCGACGGGAAGATTCTACTCCGACAATATATTGTCATATGCCAGCTGTGCACCACGCAGGACAGCGTCAGTAATCGTGCTTGTCTGAGAGCTTGCAAAAAAAAATTCACAAGCTTACTCGGGTGGGACTCGAACCCACGACCTCCTGCTTACTAGTGCAGACGTCTTAACTACTCGACCAACGAGCTTGCCGGGGTTGGCTGGCCGTTCCGAGTCAGGTGAACTATTTTCATGATGCATTTTTGCGCTGGGGAGATGGTAATTTATAATGGGTTTAGCCCTTACTTCGAGTCCCACCCGAGTAAGCTTGTGAATTTTTTCGCCAGCTCTCGGACAAGCACTGAGCATACACAAAGTCTTTGAGTTGATCAAAAAAGTTTGTTATAGTTGAGGCACCCTGCCTTGTACTGTACATCCTTTTAGGCACTTGGAATTTGCATCCGGCGAAGGCCAAAATGCATCAAAAGAGTCAAAAGGGCGCAGAACCGTCAACGTGGGAGTACTATTAAGGCATGGGGAGACACGGAGATGCATTCAGCTAAAAAGGAAGATACAGCCGGTATCGAAGTGTCTGAGCTCCTGCATCCAAACAGTATACCCATTGCAAGAGTCAGAGCGAACTAACTGGTACTGTACCTCTCTTGCAAAAATACTCCTATGATTTTGCATGTACATCTAATCCTTGTAATACACTACCTCAGCCCGAAACAAAACAAGACATAAATCGGGTTACGTATTTAACTTTTGTAAATATTTGTGTGTGTGTGGAATGACGAAAATATTTTACAAACAAACCGACAGAATCTTACGGTTCATCATGGGATGACCTGTAAAATGAACGGCATTTTGGAATGTTTATGCCAAGTCCAATAGACAGGGCAATGTTTTAGGTTAAAGAGGCACAAAAATCCACATTACGTCCTCTAGACAACTCGAAATAATAAAATGAACAGAAAACTTTAGATTATCAGCAAAACAAAAAAGTGTTTTGTTTCTTGCATCATCGACATGAAAAGAATCATCCATTTTTCATATTTAGTGCTCTTCTGTCATCCTTTGGTTGGTGATACTTCCACTGTTCAAATATCATTGTTTTCGTTATTTAATTCTGTAAACAACTAGCCCTTCCACATACCCACGTGATGTTCTTTTTTTTCAACAGCCACGGCATCATGTGGTAACGACAAAGATCCGAAATTCCCATGGACTAAGTTCTGCATCCAGCAATTAAACGCTTGTTGCCGTCGTTTTGCAAACCTGTTTAGGACCTAATAGTTCACTTGCTATCTAACGTTTGCACACAAATTGTTTTCGCGACTGCCGATTCCTTGAACTAGTCCGTTTCTGTACCTGAGCAGCCATCACATCCACTTTATTCGCATTGATCTGTACATAAAGTCACAATATGGAGTAAAGGAGGTAATTTGTTTAATCAGCTTTAGAAAATAAACAGTTTCCAGGCACGAAGTTTTACAGCGTGTATTTATACCCGAAACAGGTTTATATACATTTTGTGAAAGGGGCAAGAAAATCAACTGCTAAACAGTACGTTTTCTCCTGAGTAGTGCAGAAAACCAAGAATTGAATCTGCAGCACCAAATTTCTGTATCATCTGGACACTGCATGGACACTGATGAAATCTTGAAGAACAATATTACAGGCAACCTTAAATTGTAGATGAAAAAAATGAATGCATTATGTCCAGTGTAGTATCATTTGCTGCGGTTGTTTCAAAGCTACCTGTGTTAAAGAGTAAGGTCATTTTTGAACCTTTTTTTCTTTGTAAAGTGCATTTAGACCCGTCGTTGTTGGCTTGATGAAATAAGGCAAATTGGGGGTAATCAATAACTTACAAAATATTCAAATTGAGCAAATGAATGTTAATTTTTTTTCGTAATTTTTATCTTTAACTGCAATCCAGATCTGCATAAAATTACAATATTTCCAACTTATTGGTCGGAGTATATAATAATTTTTCATCCACTCTTTGTTTAGGAAAACTTTCCCTAATTGGTTAAACTGCGGTGTTGCATGCGTTGCAAATTTTTGCACCGCGGAATAAATAAGCAAGCCACTGGTCAACACGTTTTAAACAATGTTGAATCATTTCAATGTCTCTTTGAAATCTCCTTTGGTGGGCGGACCTCCTCTTATCTTCTTTTGTACCTTGATCAAACCATCAATGCACCCACTGTAGCTAGTGTGTAATTAGTGGTTGTTGGGTTTATGAAATCCGCCTACTGTTATTTCATTGTTATAAATAATCTTCTGATCTTACCTTGATTTCAAAACAGTTCTCTTTCTTTCTTGTCGCGTGAAGGTAGTTTTGCAGACGGAATAAATTCTAAGTATAGGTGGAAAACATAGAACAAATTCTAATGTTGGTCAACGCTACACTTCAGAATAAATGTTAGCTTACTGTAAAAAAGGGGGATAATAATACCTTGGACGTTCTCTTTTGAACCCGTTGAAGGTGCCAAATATTTGCTTCAATCGTGGTGTAGTTGCAAAGAGCTATATCCGCCCACTCAACTGAATAAATCAACCCACGACATCAACAATGAGACGTCACAATCACCATTAGTTAGTTTTCATGTTGCAATGTCATGTAGGAAATATTTTACAGGTGATTTTTCCAGGCACCGTGGCCGATTCCTTTCAGCTTTATTTACTAAGGGGGATGATCGTTGTACTTCAAAATGATCACGCGCATGATTTCGCATGATGGTATTTCGATTACAGAAAACAACACTGAGTGGTAAGATAAGGCTCCCCAGGACATGTGTGCCTGAAATGGCTGAAAGAATAACGAGAATAAACAAAGGAAAATCTTGAGCTTAGTTGGTGGACCACCAGGGGTAAGTCACTCTGATCAGTTTTATTTCAGATTCATTCAAATGCCAATATCAGTGGAAACATTATAATAATGATTGGGAAGTGTCTTTTTCCACTGAAGTTTCGTTTCAGGGGGTGAATAAAGGCCCACAATTTTTGCAATTGCCCACATCAGCAATTTTTGTCCAATCATTGCTACACGTGTCACCTGAAACAGGTCAAACAAATGGGGAACAAATTTTGTTTATTCAGATGTTAATCTTTTCGTATTAGGCAATCACATAATGGGTACGTATAAATTAACACAACATCTAAACAGAAACCGTTGAACTGTGATTTAAATGTCCCAAGTTCGTCAATGTACAGCTTTTTTAAAAGTCTTTTCCTGGTATTGGTTCCTACGCTGACAAAGGGAACCAGCCTAGACTTTCCTGCGGCTGGAAATTCCCTTTCCATAAATTCCCAGTCTGGTTGCTTTGTGTTTTGATCAACAAAGTACTTTGCCTTTTTTATTGGCTGGCAGGTACTGGGTCAAGCCCCTCATATTGAATATGAATGTGTTTGGAATTTCTTGTTTGCACGGGTTAGACTGGTTCCCGCTCCAGAAATACATGTTCACGGGTATCCAGATTTCATATGTAAGGCCTCTGACAAGCTCTTGCGCACACTTTGTACAATAAAGCGCGCTGACAATTTGAGGTTGTTTAAACTACGAAGGCGCTTGTTAGGCTCACCACTGAGATACGCGATCTATCATTAAATAAAATTAAAGTGCATATCGCTCTGCAAGTAATAAAGAAGTAAAGAATGATGCACCAGTAGCAGGCTATTATTAGCCTCACACATTGCCTCGCTCCAAAAAATTCGCAAAGTCCCAGAATATTCAAACACGTGTTCTTTTTCTTGTCAAATAATTCTGATGACTTCTTATGCATAGGGTCACTATTATTAAAGAGAAAAATGAATCACTTTGCATACAGATTGTTGAACATACATGACTCCTATATAAGAGGAACCGATCACACTGGCTCACAGTTTCCAGAATGAGTAGAATTTAAGAGTTTTGCTCTTATCCGCCATTGTCAGTCGTCGCCACGGAACCTCACAGGTCTGATCGGATCATGCAACTCTCTCAAACCTCTCGTCAAAGACTTATACTTTTTACAGCCTTCTTGTGTAGGACACATGACTGCCAGTTATTTTGAGAAATGTTGACCTATTACTGTCATTTCAATGACAGTTCGATTTTGTTATACAAAAGGGATTGGGTTGAACAAAACTCAAAATTAGCTACTTCTGGGTATTATAATCCATTTTCCAGCAGGGCGTAATATTTTATGGAAACAGTCATTGCCTGCTATATCGGTCCCTATGTTCGAAGTCCAAAATCGACAACAGAAGGACTGGGAACATGTCTAGGTAGGTCTATTTATGTAATTGAAAATTCGCCAACGCCCGCGATGCATTTTGGCAAACACAAAAGATGCATGGACTTTGTACGGTACACTGCGAAGCGATAAGACACTAAGTTTTAATTGGCTGTCAAGCACAGGTGAGTAAAGTGAAATTCGGGGATGCCACATTTACAGTTAATCAGCCAGTTGATGTCCTTAAGTTAGATGGCAATTAGGCCTAATAAATAACTAACAAATGGGGCAATTTATGTGTGGCTGTCTAGATTTCAAGGCTTGATCTTTAGCTGACGACCAGCACATTCCAATGTACACGCTCCCTACGGAGGACAAGCGGAAGGGAGCGGAAAATGGGGCGAAAAGGGATTACAGGGAACGGTTAAAAATCACCCAAAAATTTGAGATTGACTCCTTCAACTGTTGAATAGTGATCTGTCAGTATGGGGTTCATTCATGAGTGCTTCGCACATCTTCCCCAGCAAATTTCCACCCTGCAAAAAAGTGCTCCCTTTAAAGAACTCTGGCTATGCCTATGATAGCTTCTTTCGTGTCTTGTTTCTGGTGACGTTCACCAACGTTTGGACCTAAATATCCAGTGGGTCAAAGGTACCACCTGTACGGCAATAAGTGTGCTAGCATTTTAAAATGAATATACACAGCTTATACTTACTTCCATGTGTTATACGCAATTACAGCCTTAATTAAGTTGGCGATGCAATTTACATAGGGTTTAGGATACGTAACTGGGCTTGCTTTTGGGTGTAGTCCACTAACTCAAACCCCCATCGAAAACAGTGTAAAATCAGCATAGGTTGTTCGGGGTCCAATAACATGCGTACCAAGATCCCCGATGCATCTGAAACACAAGTTAAATTATTGTATGGTCCATAATCTTTCACTTTCTTTTTAATTTTCTGTGGGTTAACCAATTACATTTTGAGGTTATTCCCTCAAAACGAAATTACTCCCCAAGAAGTGATTTTTCCAAAGTGTGCTTTCATCCATTTTTCCAGTGAGAACCCTCAACTTTCTCGGGCACTTAGGACCAATTTTCAACAGTATTTTTTAGCCATTCTGCTCTCAGATGAAAGCCCAAGGACCCAGGGAGTTGATTCTGGCAAA